CAACTTCCCCCTTATGGTATTGATTGTAGAGGCAATCATGGATATACCTGTATCGAATACCTGGCCAGAGAGAGGTGCGTCTAAGCTGAAGCTGATCAAAAACCCGCCTTCAGCCTCATCAAGAATGATTTGTTTACCTGTGCGCTGCGTTCTTTGAATGGCCCAGCTCTTGAGTCAGAATCCTGCAATTTGCTAACGGGAAAACGCGTTGAAAACTAACCCCAAGCTAAGAAGAGAAGAAAACGCCCCCAAAGTAAAGCAAATTGTGCAATAAATGTAAAGACATCACAGAACATGACAGCAGAAGACATAACAAATTATGGAGTTGCCATTGCTGCCAAATGACTTGGCCCCCCTGTTCAGGATTACAGTGCAAAAAAATACAATCTTGTTTAAGTATCAAATTCAATCAGCGAATAAGAACTTCTAGTCATAAAGCAGTTTTTGTTTATTTTGTGTGCTATGATAACTTAGTATCACTAGCAGGAATCCTATTTGAGGGGCTATGTGGGCATTTGCCCATTCAAATTAAAAATGACTCATCAATGTTTTTCGTAATGGGCCATTTCTCGATTGGTTTAATATAGAATTTCTTAGAAAATGTTTCCTGAATTTATCCTAATTGGCCGATCATTTCTTTGCCCAAAATGATTCCTGCTGTTTTACCACTGTTACACACAGAAATAACCTTTAAATTGAACAGGACCAGATACTACTTTTTCACACTTAAAATGCATCTCCTTGCATCATCAATTTCAGGGGAGACACTCTCAAGTGCTGCAGTCTGACCTCTCTTCTTCCCTGGCCTCTATATATCTCTTTCTCAAGACCATCTGTCCCTAGATCTGCCGCTGCCTTCTGATTGTCTGTCCAGGTGTAGTTTTTTGTTTTAGTTTTCTGAAGGATCTGTCCAAACCTTTCTTTGCCGACGGTGTGAACTAGTCTTGTTAAGGATTCCAGTTCCTTGAAGTGCTGTCTCAACTATTCCATAAAGGTCTTCATATAGATCTTTCCAGACACTCTTGTTTGCAGTCTTGGGTCAGAATATTTTTGGCTTCCATGGCAATCCATCCTCCCTGTGAGCTGCTGTTGAGGTGCCGTGCATTAAGACTAAGTTTGTCTCTGGGCCACTCCGCGTTTGGTCGTCATCAAGTACTAGGTACTAAGCTCCTCAGTCGCTGAAAGGTCTCCAATATTATGGGTGTGTTCCTGACCAAGATCCTCTGGTTTCAGGCTGTCACATGTCTTGGGAGCTGCCAATCTGATGAGACACTACGGGTCAGTGGCTAGCCGCCAGCGCTTCTCCTCTTGACCAATAACCAATTATATGCTTTCTCTGCTGACTGTCTAAATACTGTTGAAACACAGGGCATGTGTGCATTAACCAAATTAATAGTGAGTGCGGCAAGGTTCTGTTCTTGGTCCTTTTTTTATATAATTATAGGTGTGCAACAAGGTTCTGTTCTTTGTCCACATTTGATATAATTACAGGTGTGCAACAATGTTCTGTTCTTTGTCCACATTTGATGGATGTGATTACATACACCTTAAAAATTTACAATTTGCCCGCCTAAAAAGTGAATTACACTGCATCTGACACTCGCCCGGCGCTGGAACCGCAGTGCTTATCAAGCACTACTGCTCAGTGTTTGAATTAGTTTTGTTTTCGTGATGAAATACTTTCCTGGTTTGTGTACCAGTAATTTGTACAGTAATGTCTGCAGTTACATGTGACAATGACTCCAGAACGACATACATTAAAATGTCTCGTGTGAAAGCCAGGACAACTGAAACCATCATGTTGCCGACGATATATCAAATTTGATTTGGTTTGGGTTTATTTTGTTAATATCCTATTAACAGCACAGGTCATTAAAAGGTGAGTAAAATACATGCACAGGTGCTTCAATAGATAATCGGGAAATGTTCAGTTTTACAGAAAATAGTAATAGTAATAGTGCTGCTGCAATGTGATAATTTATTTGATAGGGAGAGGTGATTCACTTGGTCAAGTACATAGGATTCAACGAATCTTGAGGTATTTACGATTTTTTTCTCTCAAAATATTAGAATCTCTTCCCCTCCTCGTATTAGCCTCCCCAAATCAAAGTTGTATGCCCAATGTGCTCGTTTGAAAAAAATCAATTCTATTCAAACCAAACTTTTCAAATACCAGCACAAAAAAACCCAGGTATGTATATGAAATATTGGTTAGGTTTGCACAGCATAGAAGGGGTCTACCTTTCATCTGCTTCCATCTCATTATAAGCAAACATCAGAGCAGATGTAGTATAGAATGTACTCTGGTTCCTCGGTTCCCTATCAACATGAAAAATAATTCACAGGGCCATCTGGGGTCTAGACGGTCTTATCACGAGACGACCTCTCCCCTATCTGCATATCATGATCACCGGTCATAGAAAGGACATGCATACAACCAATAAGTAATGCAGGGGTTAAGATTATTCTTATCTCTCAGCACAGCCAGCTGAGCATTCTGACCTCCCATAACCGCAATGTCCTGACTGCATCACAGTAAACAGAGGGTCTTCCCTCTTTGCCTAATTTACATGTACCATATTGGGTATGGGTTCCTTACTGACAAGGGAAAGAGCATCCGATCCAATCTTAGGACCTGACATGGTCACATGACTAGTGCTCTTTGATCTAAAAGTTCTAGACAATTTCCGAGTCGTTTTATATGATGGTCAAGCTATACACTCATACCATCCTCCTCCCCACCACCGCCTTTATGTTTATCAGTTGCCTGTCACTGTAATATTCCATTCCTACCTTATTTACCATCCATCAACAGAAACAGCTTCACTCTTCACTAGAGGCCATGTAATAACATGTAGCATGGATTATTAATGTTGCCAGTCTGTTGATATACACCCAAAATCGGTCAATCCAACTCTAGAACCTAGAGTTAGCTGGACTGTATACATCAACTCTATATGGTCCAGGGTAGGACATTAGGTTGAACTCCAGGCCTAAGTGATGTGACTCCCAACTCTTGCCAACTATCGTACATTTAAGTGACCAGGCTATGGTTTCCATGAGCTTCAGGTCAGTGACAGTAATCCAAGCCCATGTTCGAACCAGATTGTTTGCCACAGCTTTTCAGCACTCTGCTCTTCAGCACTATGGGGTCAAAAGCTTATCGACTATTCTCCATCTGGTCCAAGGGAGGTACTGCTACAGGTGATAAGCATCCCCTATCTGCAGACTTGTTAATAAATTCTCAGAATTTATCCTACATTGTTTGTTATTTGTTGTGTAAATAGAGTATAAAAAAATAAAAAATTGATTTCATATTTTATTGTAATTTTCACATTAAAAAAACAATCATACTAATAAAATGTCTATCACAGATTTGCAGGAAAGCTCTTAACGTTTCTAGAAAATTTCCAAAAACAGTTATGTAATAATTGATTATCATACAAAAAAGCCACCATAATAATGTTTCTACTATTACATTTCTCACGCTACCATGTACCATAACCATTAATGCAACCCAACTTTCATGTGGCCCCAGCACTAGACATACCGGGCATCTATCTGTCAAAAATGTCTCAAGTATGGTGTTCAAAGAGCTTCAAGAGGTTGCACTGTACACAAGTCATATGACATCGCGAGCATGAGAGTGGACACTATATCATTTAACTTAATACCTTAACATTAACAAATCACTTGACAATTAACCTATCGCTCTGTCAAAAAACCAGCATTATTCTCACTATTCGTTGATATAATGAAAAAAGGAGTTCAAATACTAGATAAAATTTTACATCATATCATCGTTTTGTCTTTGCATTGACAGATTATTCATGGCCCACTTATTCAAGTGTTGAATTCATCCTCCTGTTACAGTATGACAATATTACAGAGGCCAAAAACGTATCCTTTATATTACAATGATCTAAAAGCAAGGTTTTAATTGGTCTTAAGATTATAGAATATCTTTTACAAGAAATACTTTCGAAAACAATTCAGCAGTCTTGGATCTATAAAACATTCACCTCATGATAAATTAATAAAAAATGTCTTAGTTTCTGTAAGTACAAACAGAATGTATGGAAAATATCATCAGCACCCAAATATCCATTGAACAATCAGACATAGTGAATTCGAAAAGAAAATGAAAAAAAAAAAAGATTTTGCTTGAGCATAAAAAGCATATAAAACACAATAATTATACTTAAAATTTGAAGAAAAAGAAAATCTTCAATAGAAACATTTCAGTTTTGAACTATTTTCAAGAGGCAATCATTAAACATGATGCATCTGCATCCCAGGAAAACTGCAATGTTCTTGACATATTTCAAAATATCCCCGATCAAAATCTATTTTAAATGAAAATTAAAACACAAATCCTGAAATAAAAGAAATATGAATATTTCTGAAAATGTGAGTTCAAACTGCAAAACACAGCAGCTGGACACAAAAAAACAAAACTGTCCAATGCTGATTTCCACAAATGAGTTTGTCCTGAAAATGTGTATGAATATCATGCAAAATAAAGCCAAAACACATTTAAACAAACAAAAAAAGACGTTCCACAAACTATACCCTTTTTGTCATTATTCAAAATATACAATAAGTAGAACCTCTGTACCAAGTCTTGATTCTAAGCCTTAAACACACACAGTAGCTAGCCTCTGTGAACTGGACTTTCAACAAGATCCATTTATTGTGTAGATTTCTCCACACTTCTGTAATTAAACAAACTTCAGTATATTAACTTTCCAATAGATCAATGCATTGTATATTTTTCAAATTGAACTGTTGTAAGCGAAACAAACTGTCTGTCACATGATCTATTTAGAGATTTGGTTTGTTTGTGTTTTACGCACATTACCAGCTATGGTCATCTAAGGACGTGCCGGGTTTTGGTGGTGGAGGAAAGTTGGAGATTCTGGAGAAAAACCACCGACCTACGGCCAGTACCTGGTGCCTGCCCCACGTAGATCTTTTCTCTTCTTTCTAAACAACTTTCTTTTTCCTAATGTCTCCCTTGACAATGCCTCACTTTTGGCCTTTAGTTGAGCGTACGCCCCTGTGAGGAAGGCTTTGGATTCTGTCCCCTGGTCGAGACAAACCAGAGTCGGTAAAAATGGTAGTTTCTACTACTGCTTAACGCTCAGCAATTTAGGATTGGGACGACTGGCTCGCACGTTGTCAATATAATGTGACCAGGTGGGGTGTCCTGTTGGTTGCCTTTGGCAGTATATGTTTCAGTGAGGTAGCACTATAACATTTGGCATCAGTTCCCCGCTATCTCAAGGAGACAAACACGAACATATTGCAGCCTCCCAAAACACACACGCATACACTACACGCATGCATGTTGCACACAGGGGAGGCCGTCCTTAAATGACCATAGCTGTTGACAGGACGTTAAGCAATACAAACCAAGTCTCGAACCCGCGACCCAGTGGTGGAGGACTAGTGGTAGCAAATAGACAGACGCCTTAACCACTGCCGCTCCTAAGAAGTTTTATAGCTCCACATAATCATTCAAGAGAGCAGATTTCTGCGACAAATAACTACTGGCATGATCTGCATCATAATGATATCAACTTTAATGAGATTCATATTTTTGTATGTCGAAATAAAACATAAAACATTGAAACATGATTACATTTGTTAACTTCACATCTATGTTTCAGAAAATTAAATAAGAATAGCAAACTTTACCCTCTGGCATAGAAGTAGAAACTTTTTACTTGATCAATAAGACTTCCCTCATAGTCTATATTTACACACATCTTAGGGGAAATACTCTTTTAACAACAAATCATCTTCAACACTGATCTTTTAGCCAAATTCATAATTGAATATTAAAAATTAAAAATTGCTGTCAGCCATTGATCATTGAGTGATTAAAAAGTGAAATCCTTTTGACTTTAACTACAGCCAACAGTATATATGGTTATATATATATATATATAGGTATTTGGTATGTGTTTGACCATATTCATCGAAACACAGTGAATATAATACTTCAAATTGAAGTATGTTCATGACATTTGGATTTTTGAAATTTATTTGCAGACTCTATATATGAAATTCTTCAAACAGATTTTATAATATAATAATCAAATACCTACAAATATAAATATATTATTTTTTGAATTATTTACATCACTTACATATTTTTACACATCTTGTTTCTCGTTAAATAAATTTTGGCATGTGGAACTCTTAATAATTTATGACAGTTACCATGCAAATGATATATCAAGATTATATTTTGTCGGTGGACGATTGATTACTTTTAAAGGAAAAAAATAATCTGCACTTCGTCACTTGTCATGTATACAGAAAACAATATTATAAACTGAAATTTAACATACGGTAAAAAATTAGGGGATACATCGGTCATTTGAGGTAGTTCTACACACTAAAGTATGATAAAAATCAACACAAACCCTTTCACCACTGTAGACTATAATGGAATCATCCAGTTCAAAGCATTGATGAGTTTACTTAAGTTACATAGTGATAAAAGGGTAAAAGTTTTACAAAAAAACACCCAAACATTTCATGCTTTAAGTGTCCAAATTGTGCCCATAATATATTGTATCATAGGTATTTTCTTCAGGTATCTAAACAAACTTTTCAACAGATTTTGAAATCTGCATTAATGCATGTCTTTTATTATTGTTACTAAGTGGTAACAAACTACTTGTTCTGATCAAACCTAATATGGCTTTTGTAGTTTGTACAGTAGAACATGATTACATAACTGTGCTGAACCCTGAATAGGGAAGCTAAGGCATTAATTAGTTTGTAGAAGTCACAATTTCTATAGAGTATGATGTAGGTTATGATTCCTTCCACAGGGAATCAGGAATTCATTATAAGCAAGAGTTCTCTGCAACAAGCTTCTTCTACAAAACATGTTTAACTGATATTTTTAAATAAATATTTATTTTGTTTGTTTTCATTATTAATAAACTCCAAATCATTGTCACAATGGCTTGTTAATTTAAAAGTCATCATCTCCATCATCATTCTCCTTTTCATCTTCTTCCTCCTGCTCCTTGTCTGCGTTATCCTCTTCCTCTTTAACTTCTTTTGCTTTTTCCATTATGTCTTTCATTAACTCCTTCCTCATTCTTACCACTTCTTCACTGTCCTCTGGTAAAATCACAGAGGGACTGAGGATTGCATCCTCTTCTGCCTCCAGCCTCAAAATGTCCTCAAACTTGCCAGCGAATTGTTGAGCACTGTCTGTCTCTACTCGTGTGATTGGGGCACTGCCAGGACGATCCGGCTTGGACTGGTTTGGTTGAGTTTCCGACGAAGGTTGAACAGCAGGACTTAAACTCACGTTTGCTTTGTGCTTTGATTTTATCATCGACTGTAAACAGAAACACTAGTCTGAGAGGGATATATAGAAGTAAAAAACAGTGAATTAATGTACAGTAAATAAATGTAAAAACTTTTTATGTTTAGTGTTTAACTTTATTCTCATGACATTATCAAATTTTCAAAACGGTCAGAATACAGTAATGAAAAGACAACATAAAAACTTCAGTAATACATTGAGTGATTATTTAGTGAATGTAACTAATGAAATGCAACACGGCACCATTTAATGTTTCTAACAAATGCATTTGAGTATATCAGAGAAACTCTATGGATGTGAACCTTTAGTTTTTACAGCATAGACTTTTTCAAAAGTTTAAGTCAAAGGTCAAGTCATCAGTCAGAGTAACCTAACTCTTGCACTTTGCACTCCGCCATCCCAAGATGCCCTTGTACACCAAATCTGGTTACTCCGGGTGAAATAGTAAAGGAGATATATATCCTAGACAAACTTCTCGGACAGAAGAACCCGGGGAGGGAAGGACGGACGGGATGGAAGGATGGACGAATGGAGTGCAAACTTATAGTCCCCCTGGTAATCGATGAGGGACTAAAAAGCACTGCTATCAATGAATACTAACTTGAAAAAGTAAATATAAATATATATGTTTAGTGTTGTATTGAGGCAGACATAGTTTCTTACATGCATCACTTCCTTTGCCGATGAGACTCTTTTCACTCGTGTTGCTTCACTGTGTACTTTCTCATTGTACAATTCTTCACACTTTTCTACATACAATCGTCTGCAATGAACAATACAACATTTAATAGGTTAATGTAAGACACACATAACATGATACATTTAACGCTTTCTTTTTATCTACATCTTATGGTCTGCAGAAAGAATGCCAATTTTAGTTACTGTTAATGACAGATGTACAATTATAAGTTCAAATATCTTGCAAATAACTGTTCAGTCAGAATTAAACAACATAACAGAACAAAGGCATGGTTTCTCTTATGAATTCAAACCCTGGGAAAAATTTAAAAGATTTAAAAAAAACGTGAAATAAATGTATTCCGAAATCCTACGATTTACAGTACATTATATTATCAGAGCATGTCATCCAATAGTCAAATTTTCAACGCAAACATTTAACTGGTTCAATGCTGCACAGTGAATTTATATATGATTCAGGAAAATGATTCACTGACCGGAATAAGATATTAAAAGTGTAACACAACTGGTGGAATTATCATTACTTTCTGTTACAATGTTCAGACTATTTTACCGTAATTCAATGTTTTGTCTCATTAGGTCATGGATTTTCTTCTTGTACTTCTCATCAACACTGGATACTTTGTCTTCAAACTGTTCCTCATAGGACATCAGCTTGACTCTCTGTATCAACAAACACAGATTTCCAAAATCAGTTTTCATTTTGTTGATTTTTTTTTCAATTAAGATACATTTTGTATATTCCTTGTGTGAAACAAAAAAATATTTTTTATTTTTTAACTGTCAACTGACTGACCAATCAGAGAGCTCACATTCTGTTATCTTATTTTGAAATCATAATCAAATGGACAAAGTCCTTTGATTTGCTATCGATAATGGTATTTTGTCACATCAGAATATATATGATCTCCATTGCAAAAGATTAATTAGTTATCCCTTAACTTATAGGTGGGGATGGAAAATTTCATATTTTCATCTTGAGTTTCATTCATACTCATAAAAATATCAGAAGTATTCAACCCAATCAAAGAAATATTACCAGTGTAACAATTCCGTCTTTGCGTATTGCAGAGGTATCTTCTCTTGTGAGCAGGGATTGATTTTTACGTCATTGGTTTGTGAGAGTAACGTCATCAATTTTTGAGAAAACGACATGATTTTCTCACACAAACCAATGATGTAACAATCAATACCTGCTCACAAGAGAAGATAACTCTGCAATACGCAAAGACAGAATACAACAAAACAAGGAATATCTATATCAAGGTATGAATCACCATACTAAATTAGAACTTGACATTTTTGGTGGTTTTGTTCTTCTTTTTTATGTCCAACAACGGAGAGTTCCAATCTGTGCAGCATTTTTTTTTGTTTTCAAGTTCCTGACGTTTACTAACTTCTGAGGCAAAAGAGCAAGGAAAGAAATAGATTTTCTTTTGTACAAAAACAAGAGTCTGCCACAAGGATTTCTTTCCTGATCCTTTAAGATAATGCAGGGAATGACAATCATCTGTGTTATTGTTGATAACATTTGTTTTACTAATATTTTTCTGTGACATTACTGAGTAAAAAATAAAACTATTCTATCTGACCCTTAACGACTCACACAACTAAATCAGCCAATCATCAAATGTTTCATACCATTGTAATCCTTCCCGGTTAAATACAGCGCTTCTGTCAGTAATTTAAATGTGTAAATATCAATATTGACTTATTTTTTATTGAATGAAATCTACAGATATTTAACTTTCGAAAGTGTATAGTTTTAGTGGATTTTAACATGTTATTGTGAATTTATTTCAGGTCAAAATTAGACTTTTAAAGAAAAGCTAACATGGAAAATAAATCAATAAGATGTACTCAAGCACTGTAACCACTAATGAATTCAAAGAAGAAGGGTAGACAACTCTTACAGCATCAGCAAGTTCCCGAGTAGTGTTTGCCATTTGTTGACACGTAGAATCATAGGCTGTTTTAACTTGTTCCATCTCGGATTTGATCTCCTGAAAACAGACACACGCATAAATTAATGCACACTAAATTCTCAAAGCATAATACCTTAACTGTTATCTTGATGATATAGGAAAATTGTTTTTGAGTACATGAAAAGGTAGTACTTATTGTAGTCACTGGTCCTGACACTAGACTTTGACATTTTGACGGACAGATGTCTGCATGGTCTATCTGTCAAAATGTCTAAGTCTGATGTCTGAGCGGGAGAAAACTCAGGCTATAATTATTGTTGAAAAACATTACATAAAATGCTCAATACCTTATTGGTAACTGGTACATAGAGATTCCGTAATGAATGAGAGTTCATTAAACTTAAGTAACAGAGTCAGTTAATTATAAGAAATACAAGCCTAAGGTTTACTGCCAGTATTCTTTAAATAATTATTAAACTGATTCCACAATGATTCCATGAGGTAGGAAGTTTTTAGATATCAATTTTCTGTGTGTAATTTGACTACTTATTATACACACATACTTGCTACCTCTCCCTATTTAGGAGGGAGAATCTTGATTTCGATTTTGGACCCTACGATTGTGAATTTGCTAAACTATTCCTATTTTCTGATGATTTCACCTGTATCAATGCCATATAAAAGTGTTATTTGTTTCCCTAGGGTGTACATACACACTTTTTATTTATGCATTTAATTCTAGCCACGCGTAACCTTGTCCATGGACATTTTTGAAAAGTTGACAAGTATGTACACATAATCTTTGTGTTTTAATTCCGACTGTTGATGTGTCCCAACCTTGAGTTCTGCTGTAGTTTTCTTTAGTCGCTCCAAGTCTGCAGCCACATTAGAAAACCGCCTGATGACTGCCTGAGGACAGAGATACAAAAAATGATATAACAGATGTTATTACACAAAATAAAAATAACTGCTTTGGAAACTGTGATATTTCTTTTATCAGACATATGTAATAATGTTTTTATTACAAGATTAATGACTGTCTTGAAAACTGATATTTCTTTCATCAAACACATGTAATAATGTTTTATACAAAAGATAAAGCTGAGATCTATACATTTTTTTCCCAATAATAAATCATATCTAATCAACATTCAAGTGTTATTACACATAAATATAACTTTTATATACAGTAAAAAGCAGAAAAATAAGTGTTTTCTTTGTCATTTCTACTTAATTTTGGTCATAAAATGTGTTCATTTAGAAAGTTAGGTGAGTCATTTGAACAAAAAGGATCTCTTTATTGATGTCATTCTAAAGCTAAAACTTCTTTAAATGAAAAAATAAATAGAAATAGAATGTATTGGATCAAGATTTTTGCCTGTTTTGCCCCCTGAAATGAAGGCAAATTTTAATGCTTAGAGGGCAGAAATTTTACTGAGCAAAATAGATCTAGCACTAGTTAGTATACAGTGTTGCTTAATGGTCAAAATTGATATGACAAACTTACAAGCCCTTTGTTGGTGACAATAGATATTATATAAAGGGAGCTAGATAAAGAACTCAACTGCACACAATAATGCATGTCTGAAAAACACTTAATTATATTATGAATTACTGTAATTAAATATTCTCCGATACAAATTACATGTGCCAGGTATTACACATAGACAAATAGATCATGAGCAATATCCTATTCCTTAGACTTTGACTTTGTTTAATAAAAATATATGAATCCTTTGTAACTGTGCTGACATCATTGGACGTGTAGTGATATAGAGTAACTACGGTAATAAGATGTAGCTCTGCTGGAAAAGATGATGGCATTATTGTGAACAAAAAATGTGTTTTATACACATACACTCAATAATGTAAATCGTTGTAATATATTTTCTCCATATATTGTATCTGTATATTGTAGAACTAGAAAGTTAAGAAAAAATAAGAAAAATCTTTCCATTGATAAATCTACTTACGTCTAACTCTTTCTTGTGCTCCTTGCGTAGACTGTCCAAATTTCGGGCATGCTCCTTCCCCGATGATATCCTCTCAGAATTTTTTTCCTGCATCATCTTTGCTTCTGTTAAAAACATCATCATTTTAATAAGACAGATGTTCATCTTAAGGAACAAAGTATAAAATGCTTCAACAGATCAGCTATTCTTCTAGCGAAAAAGTTTGTTTCTCATGACAGGGGATTTCCCATTACAGGTTCTTTGCTTCTGATTTCACAGTTCTGGTTACGCAAAAATGTAGCCTCTGATTATGATGGTCCTTCAAGGGAAGTTTTGTAAATTATATGTTACATCTTAGTACACTGTAAAACATACAATTTTCAATGCTTCTAAAATTTTGGCCTTTCAAAATATCACGTCCTTGAATTTGTTAAATACATTTTCTCTTTTCATATTTTACTTAGTACAAATATATTAGACCAATAATGATTTGTGTGGAAAACAGGAAAGAAGCAAACCTTTGAATTATTCAGAGCTACTAATACAGGACGGGTGCCTTCAGGTCCACTTGAGTGAAAAAACATCCAGTGTTATCTGACAACTGATTTTATTGTCCTAAAACACTGGTTCTCGGACTCAAACGCCCTGATTTTAAAGTCATGTCTCAAAGCCAACCAAATGATTTAGGACTCTTGATATTGGTAAAAACAGGTTTTACATATTATGTAAAAAATGTTTAACGCAACACTTTCATCTTTCATATTAATTTAAACTAAAACTGCATACATAGATATTCAATATTATTACCTTGCATTGAGGAAACATACAAATATTTGTAAATTTTCAAATATTTCTCCAAAACTCTCAGTATAAAACATTAACAACTTGTTAATTAAAATCAGTGATTGAACAAATTGGCCCTGTAATCGAGAGGTTTCTTGTTTAAGATAGATTAATTCTTACCTCCTAAAGTAATCTAATTATGCAGTTAATTATTTTCTAATCCTAAAAGAATAAAGTTACCAATTTCTAGTTCATGAGCCTTACTGAATTCGTGGAGGGAGTTGAGTTTCTGTTCCTCTAATTCCACATTAAGGTCCTGTTCCCGTTTATTCCACTTCTCATTCATCTCATCATGAAGTGAGCTCTTGTACGATTCAAATGCTCCCTGAAGGAACTCAATCTCTTTCTTCATCTTGGCTGTTTAAATAAAGGATTATCAAAATGAAATTTAAACTTTATTCCACAATAAGTTGTTAATTGTCAGGAATTTTTTTCGATGCAGTTTAATTTTCGTCTTTTTTTGCCCTCTGTAATGAGGGCACATTTATCATTTGTTAACAACAGAACATACATAGTAATTACTTCAATGTGAAGGGGGAATTTTAGATTGGGTGAAAATGGATTTTAAAGTAAAGACAAAAATTTGACTGGGCGAATATTTCCTGGTATACAGTATATAAATGCTCCTTATTTACTCACATTATCATTTCTTTGAAGTTAATCAAAAATAGCAAAATAAAATCAGCCTTGTGTTATTTAAGGAACAACCTTTATTTCGAACTATTTATGCCTAATTGCATATGTAAGCGAGTCATTTACTGCACAAGTTACCTCCCCTGCGCATGAAAGCGAGTTCCAGACCCCATCAACCTTTTGATCTACACCGGAAATGAACTTTTCAATTTGAATTTGTCAGTATTTTATATTATCCGATATACTATGTCATTTGTTTATCACTAGTGTCATACAACTCCATATTTATACAACTGTTTTGTGATTGATTAAACATTGATGTTATTTGTTCTATTCTATCATGGTATGATACTGTTGTTATCATGTATACACTGTTATTAAATAATGTATTATATTACACTTAGTCTGATTATTGAACTGACCAGGGATTATGAAATAATCTTTTATGTATTCATCCACAAATAAGCCCATGCTCGGTAATAAGCCCATCCAAAATATTACAGTTCAGTAGAAATTCAAACAGATATTGCTATTCAATTGTTCTGTTATAAGACTGTCCCCGTACATTGAGTGAGAGATTGTGTGTTGACCACTGGGCTTATTGCAGGATATTTATGGGAGTACAATCTTATATTATTAAATGTATAATAAAAACTAAATCGGGCATCTTCTGTAATACTTTACCTGTATTGTATTGAATACATACTGAATCTGTATTGAGTCGGGATGGTTGTAAATCTATACTGCTACTTCACTGAAAGTACACTAATAAATTACTGTTCTTAATCTCTGTCACAAACTTTACATCCTCAATTTTTACTGTAACTACATACTGAAACTGTAAACTTACTGATCTGAGCCTCTGTTGTAATCTTATACTGATTGTGTTCCACACTCAATGTGTTCGTAAGTTTTTCCATTTCTTCTTGTTGGTCCTCCTGTAGTTCCCTGACAGAAAATAAGCAAGAAATGTGTTAGCTGTTTGTTTCGATTCCAAAAATAATTGATCTCCAAGCCTGATATTCAAAGAGTGAAGCTGTATCAAGATATCAAATGCTTTAACTAATAACGAAGTAATTTTCAAATCATAAACAACCAATAAAGAAAATAGTTGTCTTTTTTTCTGTGATTTGACAAGGAAAATTCCGGAAAATTCCTCTTTTTTTTCAATTTAAAACAATTTTCAAACAATTATAATTCTGTAAAATTTTATTATGACATGTAATTTTCAAGGATTTTTTTTTTCCACAAGGACTTAAATATATTCCACAATTGCAGTGACAGTGATAGTAATATAATTCAATTAATTGATACCTTTTACCCTAAACCTGCAGAATGAGTTCAGTAGAGCATCTATTAATAATTACCTAATGTTATCCTTATGGTGATTAGTCATTTCTTCCACCTTGTCTTTTAGAAAATCTTCTGCCTGAGATAAAATTAAGAATGTATATGAGTCAATCTTTTCAAAAATATTTGATAGGGTGGTCGGGTGGCACAGTAGACAGCGTACAAGCCTTTCACCAAGATGGCCGGGGTTCAATTCCCCATTCGAACGTGAAAAGGCACTGGCACTGCTCAAATACATTGGTTTCTCCAAGTACTCCGATTTCCTCCCACATTTAGACCCTCACTGCCGCCTCAGCATGCTTCCATCCCGGCCAACAAGAGTGATTAATATATGTTGCAATAATTTGTTCATAATTGTTGTATTAAATAAAGTTGATCTTTTATTTATTTTGACCAGATTTTTCTCTCCAAATGACGGGAGATTTACAGATACTATCAGAGTCAATGATATATGTGGATATGGGGGTGATATTATGCCATACAGACATAATGACTAAATCCTTTTTATCTAGGAAGTTAATGGCAAAAAATTGAGTGACAGATTGAATAGATATCAAACAATAACAGTATTATTATTATTAGGATGAAGTATTATTTACCTGAGGTAACACATTAAAATAAAAGGGGTTTGGAAAAGCTTAACAGCAAATCTATATATGGGGTCTTTCATTACCTCCTGTTTTGTCTGTCTGTATATTAGGGATATAGAGAGTTGTCTTTCCTTACTGTCTGTTTTGTCTGTCTGTATATTAGGAGTATAAAGAATTGTCTTTCCCCACCTTCTTGTTTTGTCTGTCTGTCTGTATGGGGCATACAGAGTTGTCTTTTCTTATCTTCTGATTTATCTGTCTGTATATTAGGGATATAGAGAGTTGTCTTTTCTTACCTTCTGCTTTGTCTGTCTGTATACATGGGGCTTACAGAGTTGTCTTTCCTTACTTTCTGTTTTGTCTGTCTGTATATTTGGGACATACAGAGTTGTCTTTTCTTACCTTCTGCTTTGTCTGTCGATGGTTTAATCTCTCCTCCTCTAGGTATAAGCTAAGATCTGATATCTGCTGCTGTAGTTGGCCAACAAGGGACTCCCTGAATTCATACAAAATTTTACATTTTATTAATACAGGACATTGTAATTTTATTGAATGTCCAAATTTCTATCAATTATAATTTTAACTATACATTTGATCTGTTGAAGAGTTATAAGCTAGGCCCTACCCTTCAGATAGTACTATTGGACAATTAGTTGAACTGTTACCTCACATTATATAGTTTTTAGTAAACTCACCTATATGTAATTATTTGCATAGAAATCAATTCTTCTTGTTTTTCTCAATGTATATAGGTCTTACATGCATAAATGATACCTAACTATGTAACAGATGCTTAATGCAAATCTAAGGATTAATTCCTGTCCCACTGCACTGTGGTTTTTCCATATATGCAGTTATCTCCCTTTAACTTCAGTTGAATTTTTTCCCACTCAGAACACTGTGGTTTTTCCATATATGCAGTTATCTCCCTTGAACTTTAGTTTGGATGTAACTGGATTACAGTTGTGCCAGGCGCTTCAGTCTACCACATACCTATATAGTAGGTGACAGAGACAGTATAACAACCTGAAGTACAGTGTTCACATCCTGGTCTAACCCCGCTGATTGTTTTCCACCAAGAACACTGTGGGTGATCATATTTTGTTTATTTCGTTTTTCATAAAAGTCCTGCAAGGCACATGTTTTCTTTTCAGAAATGATTCTAATTATGCCAAGAAACCCAGTTTACAATACATACTTACAGATTTTGGCAGTGAAATGGGGATCTTTAGGATAAAAAAAGGTCCCCGATACCGCTGTGAGGTTAAACAGCATTTACCAGGTCCAGCTATTTTCATTAACAAGTACAGCCTCTTTAATAAACCCCCCAACTCTAGATATTGTTGTTATATATAAATTGGTAAAACTTACCTTTCATTGTTTGCTTGTTTCTTCCTAAATAACAGAAATAGATCAGTATTTATTATTCGGTTGTTGGATGTAATAGGTATCCCTTTATTATATATGATTGTCTAATGTAATCAAATATTAAAAACAAAATGCTTGTTTTCAATGATCATCTACATAATCTTAACACACAGACTATTATAGAACAAATAAAATCTGACCTGGTTTTATTCTGATTTAATTTTTCAGTAAAAAAAGAGATAAAATACAAGGACATATTGCTTGAAACAATTCAGAAACAATAGAACCGTGCAACACTGCCACCATTTTTTTCAAGTTATTTTTTTATGGAATGATGGGATTTGGCAATATATTTAATATATATAGGGAGACTTCAACAAGAAAAAGTATAATCCTGGCAGTTTTCTATTTTCAAGCATTTAAACTCTGTAAGAACTTTGATTCTGAAAAATGCATGGCAACATATGATTTTTATGGAATATTTCTTTTGGAAAGGACGTAAAAAAATCATTTATAATCATGACAATATGGCATTAGTTTAACATGAAAATAACTGCAATTGGCAATTTTTCAAAGTGGCCAACAGCAAAGGTGCCTGTTTTAATAGAGGTGATTTCTGTATTCTCAAAAATAAACTTGAACTTTCTTGCAAGTGCATGTGTTCACCAAAATAAACCTTAACAATTTTCTTGAAAGATAGGTGAATTATGGAGATCATGCAGACCATATACTCACTGTGATTCGTCTATGACTGGGTCAAAAAATTCATCTTTGATTGTGACTGCAAATTTGCTTTTACTACGAGACAGGAGATATCCCGGGGCAACAACACAGGGCACCATAGGAGGCTGGAGCAAAGGAATTATTGATACCCTATAGTGATGCTCAAAGACAGTGATCTCTTTAATTTTTATATAAAGAAAAGTCATAAATCAAACTAGTTTATTCTTAGAAGCCTTAATTCATTACAGATGCTAATCGTGGCATTCAGAAGACATTTTCGGACAAAACTCACACATTATGTCAAGTTTTTCTAAAGTTAGCACTTAATCAGCATTGCAAGATATTTTCGGTCACTCTACCTTTTCTGATTGTTTCACATGTTTGCTCCAAATTATTGTGGACAGTATTAATCACTTAAACCATTGGTAATACATATATATTAGTATGTATTCCAGTTTTCATATTTAATCATGTACATGTTGGCACACAGGACCAAACTATTGTCAAAATAAATACATCTTAGGTAAATATTTATAAATACAATTTAAGTTTAGCAATCCAATTTTATTTAAATATATGCCCTGCATCGACTCTAAATATCAAACGATATACAATTATATATACATTGTACCTAGTAGACTGTCTCTAGAAAATTGAATTATTTAGAGAGAAAAAAAAATAGGGGGAGTTAACTAGTAGTAAAATGCAGATGAAAATTCTTCATAAAAACTTAGGGGCTGGTAGCCAGTCTATAAACCTAGTAATATAAACAATTTGTAGTACATTTATAAGTATTTCTTCCAGTTTTCATATTTCCATGTACATTTTGGCACACAGGACCGCCTATTAAGGACCAGTTACCTGTACATGGAAATATGAAAACTTGGATAAATATTTATAGATGTATTATAAATTGTTTATTAAGTAGTAATATATATAAATTTCAAGAATAACAAGCCATTTGGATTGTTATATCTCGCCTGTGCCCCGCTTTGACTATCAATGCACATATCAGAGAAACTAACTTAAACACAAAAACTTAATGTTGATGGAGATGCTGACAAAGTCAATGGACCATGAAAGGTAGGCCGCATCCAGCACTTGATGCATGGGTTGACATGTACTTCCTAAGATTCATCTATGGTTCAAGTTTGTTTGGTCTAACACTTATCTATACTTTCAGTGAAACTAAAACGCAAAAACTTAATGTTGACTCCGTCGCCGGTAAAGCAATACCTTAGTCTCGCTTCTGCTACTACGTGGCGGAAGCGAGACAAAAATGAAAAATAGTTAATTTTATATGTATATTGTGTATTTCAGTTTGAGAAAAAGTATAAATAAAATGAAAAATAATACAAACACATAGTATAGTATGTTTTACCTCAATCTGAATGAAAACTTAACATTTTGATAACATGACAATCTTGAAGGAAAAGCAGTCGGATAAAAATCTTTGCTATTGTGACTGTATTACCTCTACATTTTTCATCCATGGCGGTGCCTTGGCGGAGCGTTTGTGGGGTATGTGTGACTCGAGATTGTGTCTGCGTGTTGGCTCACGTTCCACCTGGAACACTCGGTCACACCTAAGCATAAATGAAATTAATCAATTAATAAAGCTAATAATCATTATGTGGAATTTGTGTTAAGTTCCCAAAGTACAAATCATCTTAGATAATGTGTGTTATATGTCACACGGAATAAAGAATAAATAAAATGTGACCGCAACACAGCAAGACTTGATGTAATCTTCATTTAACAAGGCTGGAACACACGAATTATGGGCTTGTGCAAGTCTACAAATCAGAGTTGAAAGTGAGTTAAGAACTTTCATTAGTAAAACTTGATAGATTTTTATCCAAGCATGCTGCTGGCTACATATCATAGTCCAAGGTCTTACTGATAATGTTTTGTTTATTTCTACTTTATTGTATTTTCATAAAAACCTTCCAAAGTATGGTTTTCTTTTCAGAAATAATTCAAAATCAAAGCTATAGTCATGCGAGAAAAAAAAGTTTCCAACAATAAGTTACGGTTTTTGGCAGTGGTACGGGGGTCCTTAACTGTAATGTTTTGTATGAGCAGAGCCAAATATGATCTTATTCACTACCTATATCACTTTCCTCCATTACAGAATAACAAAAGCTGTTGAACACTAAATTTATACCACAAATTCAGTCCGAAAAATTCAGATTATTATTAATTCTAATTTATCATATCTGACAGTTACCAAATGCCATCAGAATTTGCAAAGGATTTCACTTTAATCAATTTCTTTAAAAAAAGATCAATTTCAATTTATCTGACACTTCAGGTGTTAGTGTACATGAGACTGATACCAATACTTATTCAAAACTGTTTGGAATAAAAGATATAATATAAAATCACACATTTACATTATTTCGTACTAAATATATACATTATATGTATGTATCAAGTTCCAAAATGGTCCTTTTATGAAGCATGTCCATTAAAAATCAATTTCAGTATGAATGAAATATTACACTACAATCACATCTGTTTCAATTTCATTTTCTATTTTTGGAGATTAATCAATCTTGAAAAGACTTGGTCGTATTTGAATAATAATAAACTTTATTTATTGAGGATACAAAACCTGTTTAGCAAAGCTAATCTTCCACAGGGTCCTCTTAAATCACTCTCATTTTGCCATGAATACATTACCACGTAAGTGTAATAACCCGGATCCCCCGTACCCGTGCCCAAACCTGTAACTTATTGTTCAAAATTGATTTTTCCAGCATGACTTAAGATTTGATGAGTCATTTTTTAATAGAAAACCAAACCTTGCAGGACTTTTATGAAAAAATAATGAAGTTGAAATAAACAAAACTAAAATCAACAATAGTGTTCCATGTGTGAAATTTGAGCGGCGCTAGACTAGGATTCGAACCCAGGACCTCAGACTGTTGTACTATCGCTCTAACCCACTGAGCTACCCAGTCAAGAGAAGTGTCCTGGTCCAACTGTGCTACAGTTGTATCTAAATGGAAGTTAAGGGAGGTAACTCTTTGTATGAAAAACTACAGTGCAGTGGGACAGTGATCCTTAAGTTTTCATTTGTGACACCAACTGAAAATATCATTATTATTTTTTTAGAAAATATGAGAATAAGAAATCTAAGAACAGGCTTCCTTAACTTCCAATTGTATGCATCAGATTAAAGACTGTCTTTATGTCACGATTTTGAATAAACAGAAATGGGCCTAAAATTAATTCACCGTACTTAAGCCTTACATCCTGCTATGACAATATTGATTTACATATATACCTTGAAAGCTTTTGATAGACATCCTAAGTACATATACACATGTTAAGCCTTGTCATAACAAATATTATAACCTGTATTAGTCTATATACTTGTAATATTTACTGGTCATATTAGTACAATTTAACCTGTCTAAACCGAATCCTGTTCAATCAAAATACCTGTGGAAACCAGACCATCTTAATTAACCAACACTAATTGAAGTGACATATATGACAAACTCATGCTTTAATAAACAGAGATGACAATGAAATACTTAGTACTTAACTAATAGTACGTAGTACAAACTTAATATGAGCTTTAATTAGTGCCTCTGACAGAAGCTATTTTAAAAGCAACAGTTTTGACTTATTTTCTCTAATTAAAAAAACTAGAAAAACTGATCGTGCTGCATAAGCAAATACTCGATGTCAAACTTTAGTGTCATGATACCTTAACTCATACCCCTAAAAAAACATTTGAACTCCTCCAATTTAAAGGTTGGAATAGCTCATTATGAAAATTCAGGGGTGATTGAGTCAAAACTATATATTGTTTTTAGTACTGATGATGTACAAAATAAAGAAACCTTACTCTGAGCGAGGCGACACTGACAAGGTTGATGCTGCTGTTTTTGGACGGTGCATACGAGCTGGAGATCCTGCCCCATTCTGAAAGGATACCCTCATCGTACCGGGGGTCGATCTGAAACACAGAGAAAAAACCAAATTCATCAGTTTCATGACAATAAAAATTAAGTAGCCAATGTAGCCTCATATTTATATAAATTTCGACAGTTTTTACCATACAAGAGGCCCATGGGCCTTAACGGTCACCTGATATGTTTATACAGAGAGTTGATTTTGTTTTTAACATGAACAGAAATATTATTCAAAGTGACAAAAACAATAAAACCACCTTACTCAATATCTAGCATACAGATTTCAGACTAAAAAGGATTTGAAACTAGCACCTCTGATTCTTAACAAGGAAAATGAAGAAATTTTAGCACACTGACTCCTTTGAGCCCCACCCTACAGCCCTTGGGGGTAGGGCTGGCTCAAAATTTTCAAAGTATCAAACTGTCAATTCAAGGTTATAATTCCAATCAAGTTATTAACATGTAATATTCAAAGTATCATTTGCCATTATAAACCATAATAAATTTT